CTCTATGTTGTGCACCTCAAACTAGTATAATATTGTATGCCAACTATAATGAACTGTAATGATTTTTTTAAGTGAAGGAATGATTCACGGAGATGTCAAGAAATGCATGACTCTTAAAGGGATTTTCTTAATGTGTGTGAGAAGGGAAAGGATAACTTTATTATCCTCTCTCTGTCCATAATGAAATAATTCATGGGACCCAACGGGACAAGCATTGACGATACAGTGTGGCAAACACGCAGTCTGCTGACCGTTCCCTTCCAGCTGTTGCTAGTAAAATGCCACATAAAAATCATAAGTTCTTGTCAGTATTTGTCATAAAAACGAGTAATAGGAACTCAGAAGTAACAGTCCTGGCGAGAGGCAAATACAAGTTTCCCTCGTGTTGTTGGGAGATCTGTGGGAAGGGAAGTGGGTGAACCCTCTTGGGACAACTGAACACCACAAAGGGTCATTTCCCTCCCTATTCCAAAGCCCCTGTCCCCCACACCAACCGCTGGCCAGCAGCCCAGACTGGGCCTCAAGGGGAGGAAAGAGCTCATTACAGCAATAGACTGCTTCACCCTCAGACTGGAATTTAAACTGCCCAAATAACTACATCCTAATTACAATTCACTTATGCCACAGACAATAAAATTAATATACTGGGTGGGGAGGGGGCACATGGCAGGATTTACAGGTTCATAGTTGGGGCTCTCCTCCCTCACCCTCCCCAATTCCTTTTCACCTTTTCTATGTCTATGTAACGTAAAGAGACAGCAATGAACACGGGAAACGGAATTGGCTGATTTAGAAGAAGGGTGCACTCATGTTGCTTTAAACTAACATGAATTCTGGAAAAGAAATGGCTTCACAGTTCAGCTTGGGAAGGTCTCTCTAAAGAAGACTTAAAATCACAGCAGAAATCTTTGACATTTCAACAACCGTCTATCTCAGTTTAGATAAATAACATACATTATGAGAACTGAATCTGCAGCACAAGAAGATTACTCATATTTCAAAAGGGCTTTCCATTTGAGTTTCTTTCCATGGGTAATTCCCGTTTTGTTCACAGCATGGTTTTAAAAGTCATTTCAACTCTTCAGAAGTACGTGGCCTGCATAAAGCAAAGTCTGCTTGCATTTTTATTTATGGTGTCCCCAAAGCCTTTTAAAATTCACCCTATAAATTTTCACTGCTATCTTCTTACAGGGGAGAAAAATAAAGAAACAAATTAAAAAATCCTTCCATCACCCCACCAGTGTGGCTCAGTGGTTGAGCATCAACCTATGAAGCAAGAGGTCATGGTTCGATTCCCGGTCAGGGCACATGCCCAGGTTGCAGGCTCAATTCCCAATGTGGGATGTGCAGGAGGCAGCTGATCAATGATTCTCTCTCATCATTGATGTTTCTATCTCTCTCTCCTACTCCCTTCCTCTCTGAAATCAATAAAAAATATATTTAAAAATAAAATCCTTCCATCAACATTTTAACCATTCAGTAGCAAATTCTTCCCAGTAAGATGTGTACGTGCACTGAGCTCCTGGCCCCTGAAACACAATAACCCTAGCATTGTTTTCCAAGGCAGAGATTTCTAAAACAAAGGCAGGGTGCAGAAGTACAAAGCTGATTCATACAGTATGATTCAAATACAAACACAGTTCCAAGATGCGTGAGGTCTGAAATCTCTGGGCTGGAAACCTGGGTCACCCGCACAGTGGAATCCAGAACCTTTTCCGGTGTGCACATGCCAGGTGGGATGCTCTAAGCACTGACCAGTTTTCCTAGAGTAAGAGCTGGCAAGAGTCAGGAACGGACAGGGGTTACAAAATGGCCCTCGCAAAAAAGCCTAGTGCTGCAGGGCAATAGGGAGGACCAGTGATTCTTCCCTACCATTTGACAGAAAAAATAGATGAGACATCTTGGTCACTGAGCACTTATAGTAGGCAAAGCTGCTCTATGCATTTTCATCTGCATTAACTCACACAACCTGTCTCTGATGCCTTAACACTCTTAAAAATAGACAGCCCCCAAACTGTTGTGCTTTTTGTTTGTGTTGTTTTGTTTTGTTAATCCTCACCCAAGGATATTTTTCCATTGATTTTTAAGGAGAGTGGAAGAGAGAGGAAAAGACAGAGAGGAACATCAATGTGAGAGAAATACATCAATTGGTTACCTCCTGCACAAGCCCTGATCAGGGCTTGGGCCGGGGAGGAGCCTACAACCAAGGTATATGCCCTTGACCGGAATCGAACCTCGGACCCTTTGGTCCGCAGGCCAAGGCTCTATCCATTGAGCCACGGCTAGGGCCTAAATTGTTGTTTATGTAGGTTGTAGCCATATATTATACATTTAAATGGAGAAAAAGTTTAGAAATTAACTGGTTCATTTATTTTTTAAATATATGTTTATTGATTTCAGAGAGGAAGGGAGAGGGAGAGATAGAAACATCAAAGATGAGAGAGAATCATTGATCAACTGCCTCCTGCACAATCGTGGATCGAGCCTGCAATTCTGGCATACGCTTTGACCAGAAATCAAACTGTGACCTCCTGGTTCATAGGTCAATACTCAACCACTGAGCCACCACAGCCCAGCTGGGCTCATTTAAAAAAAAAATAAGGCTATTACACACTAACACAGATAACTTTTTATGAAGAGTAACAATATTTTCCAAAGCAAAAAAAAAAAATAGTGAGAAGGGTGGCACTGTTACCTTTTAGCAAGTCTCCATAATTTCTGGCTCAATAGGAGGCATTTGGACTCTCCTAACTGCTTCTGCATCCAATAGATGCACTACCCAAGGTCATTCTGTTATATTCGCTTCAATAGAACTCATGTGCAGTCACATGGGAATGAACATGAATAGGGCAGATAATATCATGTGTTATCATGAAAACAGTTTGGCCTTGTGGCCCTCTGAAAAGTCTTAGGGACTCCTAAGGACCCCTGCCTTACAAATTTAGAACAAATATTGTCTCCATGAGCAAACTAGCATGAAGAGGTCAAGGGCTTGTCCAAGGACACGCTGCTAGAACATGCCAAACCAGGTAAAAGGCAAAGAGCACAACAGTTACTCTCATCTGGTTGTTGTAAGGCTCGAGATCATAAATGCAAGGGTTGTGCATGCCACTTGGCCTATCACAAGTGCTCAAGACATTAATATTTCCTGTTGGGCAAGATCTGGTGGAAAACCAGGGAAACTGCACATTTTTGATCAACTGACCACAATTTTCACCAGCAAGAAAGTTAAATCTCCACAGCAGGTGCTGGAGCACGGGCCCCGCTGCGGCCCCTGGGATGGAAGCTGTCTTCACTGCTCAGCAACTCCACGGCCTCATTCCACCCTCCATCAGGCAAATGATGCTGGCGGGCTGCTGCTCACGGTCACCTTGTTCCTTGGGAAACCTGAGCAAGCCAAGAGAGCTGCTCCATTATTTACAGCCTCCTTTTTGCATCACATGTATTTACCAGGAACCCTCAGCAAACAAACAACGGTGCCTCTACATGCCTCTAGTCTGTGCAGCCAAAGCCCTCCTAGGAACTGGCACCTGGGTCTTGCTGTCCAGGGGCTCGGCTCTCCCCTGTTCTCCTTGTCCATCAGCTGTCTGAACCCACATGGTCCTCCTGTCCGGGCCACCTGATCAGAGAGCACCAGGGGCTTGCAGGTCACTTTTCCCGGGATTTGGGGAGTGAGGTCACCTGATGAAGTGGGTCTGGTGCAGCTCAGGCCACTGTGCTCTCAAAATGCTACCTGGATGGAAGGCAAGAGCAAGAGGTGCCTGAAGCTGTCGCTTCCACCCAAGTGCATCCACGGACCGGTCCCCTGCAACACTGCAACTGGTCTCCCTGTTTCCACTGTGATACTCACACAGACACAGACACAGACACACACACACACATGCATGTGCACATGCACATATGCACACACACATACACAGAGACACATATACATGTGCACATACATACACGCATGCACATACACACATGCACATACATAGACACACATACACACACACACACACACGTCTAACCTCCACCAGCCGCCAAAAAGATCTTTTAGAAATATGAATATAATGAACAACATAAACTGATGAACAAAAACAGATCCAGAGACAGAGAAGCATCCATCAGACCGTCAAACCTCCTCAGAGGTAAGGTAGGGAGGGTGGGGGTAAGGCGGAGAAATCAACCAAAGGACTTGTGTGCATGCATATAAGCACAACCAATGGACACAGGCACCAGGGGAGTGAGGGCATGAGCGGGGGTGGGGGTGGGGGCGGCAAGGGGGGATAAGGACACATATGTAATACCTTAATCAATAAATAAAATAAATATATAGAAGAGATAAGGTCCGTTTTCCTGCTAACATGCTCCCAAGGATCCCCCACTCAGATGGAGTAAAAACCAAACTCGGCTTATAAGGCCCAGCCTCGTGTGGCCAGGGTTTCTTCTCTGTGGCCTTTCCTTCGCCTGCTCCCTCCTCCTGCTCCCACCGCCGCAGGGCTCCTCCAGGACCTCTGACGTCACCACCTCCTCACAGCGGCCTTTCCCGCACGCCCACCCCGCAGACTGGCCTCTCCACCCTCCATCTCCTGGTGTTTGCGAAGACAGAGCGCTTACTCTCGTTATGTTACTGGTGGATTACACGCCTCCCTCCAGCCACACCTCCCGCTTAGAACTTGAGCCCCGGAGAGCTAGGTCTCCACCGATCCTCCGCGATATCCCCAGCGCCTGGCACCACGCCGGGCACAGCCTAAGTGCTCAGCTAACATTGGTTGAATGAATGAAGCAGCGGCGCCAGGTGGCCGCGAGGGTCCCGGGCTGGGGTCCCGGGTGCCCCGGCGCGCCCGCCCCGTCCCGACGGCTGAGCCACAGGCACGGACGGGGACGGGTCGGGGGACCCCGGCGGGACCCGGCAGCTCCCCACGGAGCGCGCATCGGGCCGGGCTCCGCAGGTGCCTCTCGAGAGCGAGAGCGCTCACTCCCGGGCCAGCGCCGCCCCCATCTCGGGCACTCACCATGGTGACCGGGCCGCCTCCGCCCCAGCCTGCCGAGTGGCGAGTGGCGAGAGCCAAGTGCAGGAGCCGGCGCGGCTGACAGGTGAGGCATCTGCCTCGGACCAGGGCTGCTTCCCACAATGCCCTCGAACTGAAAGTTTGCAGACTCCTCCTCCCCGCCGGCTCCCCTGCCGCTCCCCCAGTTCCCCCTCCTCCCCTTCTCTCCCTCCTCCCCGCCCCTCGCCCCGCCCAGCGCCGCGCTGGCGGCCTCAGGTGACAATTCACCTGCGCGCCTCCAATGCACCTGGGCAGAAAAAAAGAGTTCGCTGTCCTTTTCAATCGACCCCAAACAAGGCCTCTGTGGTTGGAGTTAAGTGAGAGGAGGTTCAAGAGGTGAGCAGGAGCCAGAAGGCAATGGGTCCTTCCTACACGAGGGCATCATAGACACCAGCAGCCTCCAACCTCTCCAACCTCAACGTTCTCAAAAATCTCAGTGCCTCCATATCCCAGGCTTTCTGTTGCTACATGCCTGATGGCTTCCACTCCTGGTGTGTGGCATCTGCCAGAGGGCTCTGAAAGAGGATTATTTAACAATTAAACACCAGATGATGGAGTGAGTTTGCCTCCTGACAGATGGTCCACAGTTACTGTGAGTTCAGGAGAGCTGCTTTCCACACTTCTAATTCTCCGGCCAGGGTCCGTTTTCTCTCCATCGTGGACCTGTTGCCTCGTGGTACCTGGATCTTCTCTTTCTATCTGATTTTAAAGCGGGGCTCAGCCCTATCGCACACACCTTGCTGATTGATCTATGGAAAACACCTACAGGCTTCTGCTTTAAGGGTTTATTGCTAGTGGAAAGACATGGGAAGACTAAAGGTGAGTCTTAAAGCTGGTAAAATCTCAGTGACAATTAAGTAAAAGATTAAAGCCGGACAAAGTTCCCTGACTGTGTGGTTCATGTTAGGGAAAGTTTGATTAGAGAATGAGGGGAATTTCACTTAAAAACTATTGCCATCCCTTGCCTTCCGTCATGACCTTGCTGAGATAGGCCGTGGATGCTATCCTGGGCTTCTGTCCTGGGCTTCTCCCCCAAATGTTCTTACCTCCAGATTCTCAAATAACACCCCAATCGCTCTTATGGCTGGACACCTCACATAGGTTATCTTACCTGGCCTTCAAGACAACCTGTAATTCAATATATGGTTTGCAGATACTTTCTCCCATTTTATAGGTTGCCTTTTTATTTTGTTCGTGTTTTCAACATTGTACAGATAAGAGCCCGAGACTCAGAGGCAGTGAGGCCAAAGCAGGCACAGACAGCAACCAGAGGCAGGGCTGAGCCTGGCATTGAGGCACCCGGGCTCAAGCTGATCCCCTCCAGAGCCTCACTCCTGGCAGACCCGCTCAGAATGCAGCAGTGGTGTCAGCAATGTTTATTCGGAACATTCACTGTCTCAGTGCGATAACTTGCATTTTTGAGTCTTGACTTCCCTATCTCATCTTTGCTCCCTTTCAAACTCCAGGCTCTACATGAGGTCAGCAAGGAGGCCAACCCCATCGAGGCCCCAGAGGCCCTATAACAAGATGTTTCACTGTGAAGAGGGCTTCCCTGGCCTAAGCCTGACAGGGCCTTTAGATTCAAGATCTGCTGTCTTAGTGTTATCCTAACTACAAGACCAAAGGGAAACGCAATAAGCATTTATTTGCGACCCAAAAGAATAGCTTTGCAGGAAGCACTGATTCAGGTAGAAACCCAAATAGTGTCCCCAATAGGAAGTGAATGCAAGGGAGTTATGGGAAAAGGGAAGGGAACAATTACGTGAATAGGAGGAAGAAATAGAAGGTGCAGATAGGCTACATAGTGACGCTCATTCTAAAGAATGTCTTTAATTTTCAGTTATAGTTACGACAAATAGTTGTTTGGGATACAGTGCTGCTTAGGCACAGCCTGAAGGTGGCTTCGCCCAGTTTCAACATTCCAAAGGTTTGAGGAGTAAGACATGCAAGGCTGTTCCTCTGGGATGGCAGCTTTGATTTTAAAGTGGCTCCATTAATGTTATTTCTCACAGTTGGCAGAAGCCAGGGTGCACGGTGTGTTGTATGTTTCAGAGTTGGTCATCCCTGAGCCGGTGCATGCAATTCTTGTGTGTGTGTGTGTGTGTACTGACTCACAACACAATGCCCTGGTATTATAGGTCAACTTGATTTATGAGTTTCACTTCTCAAACCATAGTTGCATGGTAACAGAAGATATAAAACATGCAGTAAAGGCCACCCTGGAGTCCACCGGGAGAAGAAGAAATTAGGCACATGATAACAGTCAAATGACGCCATTCTAGAAAATGTTAATTTTCTAGAAATTAAGAGAGATCAAGCTATGAGTTTAAAACAATAAAGGAAGAAAAGGCCATCAAAGAAGTTTTGTCAGGAAGTCTTTCTTTCCGATCATAATGGTAACCTGGTTAAATGTTAACTAAACTAAAGATAAATGGAACGGGGAGGAGGAACTCCTGGGTTTCTCATTTTGTTAGTCTTGTTAAATACAAGACACGTCAGCAGAGTGGGCTGATGGTTATCACTGCTATACCACAAGAAATAAAGGGAATGGAATGCAGATACACCTCGTTGGTCTGGCAGCTACAACCACCACTAAAAATGCAGTGGATGTCAGTGTAACGGGTGTCGAGTAAAACTGAAAGTCTTTGGTTTTTAGATTCCATATATAAGTGAAACCACACAGTATTTGTCTTTGTCTGACTTATGTCTCTTAGCATAATACCCGCTGGGTCCATCTATATTGTTGCAAATGGCAAGATTTCATTTTTATTTTATTTTTACTGCTATGTAATCAAACAAACAAAACAAAAACAGACTCATAGAAACAGGAACCAAAGGGATGGTTGCCCTACTGTGATAGGTTTATGCAATAAAAGGTGATTACTGGAGTTAGTGGGCTGATCGCATGGTAAGGTATACAAAAGTCCAATCACTATATTGTACACCTGAAACTAATATAACTAATATAATATTGTACAGAAACTATACTTAAACCAAAAATAATAAATTTAATGATTTTTCCATTTTAAATAAAGATTGAGAGACTTTATTTAAAAGTCGATGGAGAACTTTAAAACTTTATTTAAAAGGCGATGGAGAACAATCAGAACCATCTAGCCCTCCAGTGAGTTGAGGCAGGGGAAGGGTTGAGAGCTAACCCCTGCCCTGGTAATGTGGCTCCATGGACCGTGCTGAGTGCTGGGATTGTCTTACAGGAGAAGAGGTGTTTATCTCAGTGGATAAATGCGACAGTTTATAGCTTCTTTAAGCATTTGGAATGAGGGAGGGAACCTAAAAATGATTGTGTGAAGGTGGGAGAGAGCAAGGCAGAGATAGGATTAAGATTCTGTGTTCTCTAAGGGTGGTCATACTTTAGGGCAGTAGTTCTCAACCTTCCTAATGCCGCGACCCTTTAATACAGTTCCTCATGTTGTGGTGACCCCCAATTTCATTGTTACAAATTGAACATAATTAAAGCATAGTGATTAATCACAAAAACAATATGGAATTATATATGTGTTTTCCGATGGTCTTAGGTGACCCCTGTGAAAGGGTCGTTCGACCCCAAAGGGGTCGTGACCCACAGGTTGAGAACCGCTGCTTTAGAGGAAGGGTCTGAAAAAGAGGCATTTCAGAGGTTTGTTAACCTAGTCAGGGGTGGGCAAACTTTTTGACTCGAGGGCCACAATGGGTTCTTAAACTGGACCGGAGGGCCGGAACAAAAGCATGGATGGAGTGTTTGTGTGAACTAATATAAATTCAAAGTAAACATCATTACATAAAAGGGTACGGTCTTTTTTTTTTTTTTTTAGTTTTATTCATTTCAAATGGGCCGGATCCTGCCCGCAGGCCGTAGTTTGCCCACGGCTGACTAGATGCACAGAAACAATGGACAGGGATTACTTAAGACAAATATAAACCTTCCACTAAAAAGTTATAGGCCTGGGGCGTGACTACCCACCCTGACGTGCCCAGTTAGGAATTTATGATCATCTCATCCTGTGAACCTACTTTCCATAGAACCTCTTTTTCATTCATGCGTCCTAAAGACACTGGCAGGATTAAAAAGTCAGTATTCACTAATTATTGCTGTTATTACTAGTAATAAATTTTAACTTGTATTAACTTTTTTAAAAAGCTTACAGCACTTTCTTCTGACGCTGTGACTCAGGGAACCGAACTTTGTTTTCTACTTCCCTGTGTGTTTGCCTCATTTCTTGGACCATGTTTTAATCACCTTTGTATCTCCTTCGCTGTTCAATAAATATTTGAATGAATAATAATTTTTAAAAAGCTGCCTTGTATACTCACTGACCAAACTACCTTTTCCAAAACATGTCAAAATGTGTCTCTAAAAAGTCCTGCATTGTTTCAAAGCAATGGAGAGAGCTGAGCAGGTTGGCATGGTAGCTTCATGGCTCCAGCAAGCTATTCTCCAGCAGTGCAAGCTGCACATGAAGCTCAAGAAACAAGCAGATTGCCTGGCTGGCATGGCTCAGCGGTTGGGCATCAACCTGTGAACCAAGAGGTCATGGTTCAATTCCCAGTCAGGGCACATGCCTGGGTTGTGGGCTTGATCCGGATGTACAGGAGGCAGTCAATCAATGATTCTCTCATCATTGATGTTTCTATCTCTCTCCTTCTCCCTCTCCCTTCCTCTCTGAAATCAATAAAAATATATCTATATATATAAAAGGCTAAGCAACAGACCAACCAGCCAACCAGCCGACTAGCTGGTAGGTATGACACACACTGACCACCAGGGGGCAGATGCTCAATGCAGGAGCTGCCAAGCGACAGCAACTTTGCAGAGTGCCCTCTCGCACTCCAGGACCCCTCGGGGGATGTCGGACTGCCGGTTTCAGCTGAATCCCTACAGGCCAGGCCAAGGGACCCCACCTGCTGGAGCGACCCCGCTCACTCCCTCACTCCGCAGATGCCCTTCGAGCCCCAGCATCGCCTCAGGTGCGGCTGGCCAGGGAGGGACCGCAGGAGATTGGCTCCAGGGCATGTCCGACCCCTCTTGCCCAGTCCCGCCCCGCTGACCATCTTCTAATTAATTTCCTTTTAATGTGCATGAATCCATGCATCGGGC